CTTTGGGAAATGAAAGTTGTATTCAATATTGCCAAAAAAAGAAATAGATAGTTTGGTTGTTCAAAAGGTGTTTGTATTTAAATTTGACAGAATAATCACAATCCGTGTTAAAGACATGTATTCATACATTATCTATTCCTGGAAAATGAGAATTATTTAGACAGAACCAAAGACCAGCTGTTTCAAGTAATAATTAAGACTCGAAATATTTAAAACAGAATATGTGTGTAGAACATACTTAAATTTCTTAAAGTTGTTCTGTTACTCGTAGAGGAGGGAGAAGACATAGTGTAACAGTGAGGAACACGTTGACAACTCGACTATCAAGAACAAATTACAATATCAAAGAACTCATGTCAGAATGACAGGATACATGTTGAACATTGAAGAACACGTTGCCATCATTAAAACTACAATATCATTGGATTTGTCTCCCTTTCAAGTGAGTACCTATCAGAAGGTCTGTGGTATGATCCGTTTCAATTCCTGTTGTTTGCAGCTCAGTTGTTTCAAGTGTGTCAGTACCAGAAACCAATAGAGAGCTAGGGAAATCTGTTTCCTGAGTAGTCATGTCTACTGTGCTAATAGTCAGTACATCTGACACCGTTTGATCTGTTAGTTCTAATGTTTCTTGTGTAGAGATAATATATAATTTGGGAAATAAGAATTGTATTCAATATTGACAGAAAAGTAATTGATAGTTTGGGTTTTCAAAAGATATTTGTATTCAAATAGGACTGGATAATCACAATCCGTGTTAAAGACATGTATTCAGATATTATCTATTCCTGGAAATTGAGAATTACCTAGGCAGAACCAAAGACCAGTAGTTTGAAGTAATAATTACGACTAGAAATATTTAACACTGAATATGTGTGTAGAACATACTTAAATTTCTTAAAGTTGTTCTTTTATTCTGGCAGAGAAAGGAGAAGACATAGTGTAACAGTGAGGAACACGTTGACAACTCGACTATCCAGAACAAATTACAATATCAAAGAACTCATGTCAGAATGACAGGACACAAATTGAACATTGAGGGACATGTTGACAACATTAAAACTACAATATCATTGCATTTGTCTCCCAGTCAAGTGAGTACCTGTCAGCTGGTCTGTGGTATGATCCGTTTCAATTCCAGTTGTTTGCAGCTCAGTTGTTTCAAGTGTTTCAGTACCAGAAACCAGTAGAGAGGAAGCGAAATCTGTTTCCTGAGTAGTCATGCCCACTGTGGTAATAGTCCGTACATCTGACACCGTTTGATCTGTTGGTTCAAATGTTTCTTGTGTAGAGATTTGTACAAATGTTGATGTCTCTGCTTCTGATGTAGGTGTGTCTGTTGTAATTCCTACACCTAAAATTAACATTAAAACAATGTCAGGAACAAAGAAGGGCATCAAAAGACAGTGATGAACAGAGGTTGACAAAAAAAGTGCTTTAAAGACATCAATTTTGGTGCTTGTCCTTTTCATGGTAAGCATTCTAGTAATGTGATTGGGACTCACTGGTGGTGATTGTCAAATCAGCAACGGTTGATTCTTGCACTGTGTTTAGGTCAGTGGCGATTTCAGTGGTAGCCACAGATTCCATAGTGCTGTCAAAATAAGTTATGTAGTCCACTGTTGTCTCCGCTTGAAGTTCTACATAAAAAACAAAAAAGTGAAAATTGATGGAGTTTGAAATAAAAAGAAAATAATTGTAATGACACAAAGGAAATAAGAAAGAGCTCTCAAGTGCTGAGAGTATAAGAGGCATATAAATTAAATGTTCTGCATATTTAAAATTAATTCAAAATTTTAGATCATTCCATTCAAATGAGAAGTCTGATAACTAATATAAGTCTGCTTTTTAAAATGAAACAATTGTTATTAAGATACTAGTAGGAAGCTGGATATTGACAAATGTTTATGCAAATTGGGTAATTTAAATACATATCAATACAAAACTGAGCATTGTTCAAAAACATATATGTACTAAGTTTCATTGAAATCTGATGACTGGTTCTATGACATTGATGGAAAGATTGCAAATTGGCTAATTAATTATTATGCAAATTAGGTGCATGATATACATGCATTTTAACCTAATGCTAATCAAATACTTGCATTTCCTCCAGAGCATATACATACCAAGTTTCATTGAAATCAGATGATTATAGTAGTTGACATATCGATGGAAATGCCCAAAATTGACTAATTATTATTAAAATTAGCTAATATGCCTGAATTTTTCCCCAAAATTAATCAGTATAGTACATTGTGCCATAGTTTCTATTTCTATTTGTTATTGAGATGATGTATAGACATAATATTCATGGAGGGAGAGCCCCTTAAATAGTGTTCACTGCTCCAAATACCATAGTTCCATTAATCAGAAAAATAATAGATGTAACAACTTGAGATAATGGAACACTATTTTAGGAGGGAGCAAACATGTCTGTCTAAGGTCTATTGTAAATAAAAGATTCATACATACCAGAAAATTCAACGCTTGATAATAAAATCTCGAACTCTGATGACCCATTTATTGCCTTTACGTAAATATCTTCAAATTCGCTGGCAGTAATATTTGCATCTTTGTCCAACGTAACAGTATTATTAGCAATAACACTTCCTTGTCTGAATAAAAGCAAGATTTTAGTAACCTAATTTTTGATTACTACATAATTTTTTCAGTGATGGGTTATTGATTAGAATGAATGAAATAATTTGATTTATTTAAAGCGAGGATTTAAAGCAAGGATGCTGTCACCTGCGCATGCGTCAGATGGCCATAGCATATCATTGTTTACAAACAAGCGTCTGCTCATGAGCCTTTGCGTTTTTAGCGTGTGTTGTTATCATCGCTTTGGACCCGTGTGTGCACAGGTGACGGCTCTCCCGTTTTAATATGAAGTGGATGATTCGCACATCATTAAATATTTGACAAAAATGCTACATTATAAATACCATATGCATACCTGAATCCTGTAATAGCATTGCAGGTGTAAATACTGCTGAGAGGGCTGCTCTTTAAAGATGTGTCAACCTATGAGAAGAAATGAAATAATATGAAATAATTTAGTCTTTATTGCTATAATTTTCTGAGATGCATGGACAATGTGTGCATAAATGAATGTTTTTATACGAAAACATACAATACAGTATTGGCTGCTGCTCAGCAGAGGTCGATGTGACCATGTACTGCCTGAGTGCATACTTTGAAGTATCCTCGCAATACTTTTATTATTATACATGTTTTCCTCCCAAAACATTTGGAAACAATTTAATGAACTTCTTTGTGTGGGGTCCAGTGAAACCTTGAGGGTGCCAAGTTTGTTTTTATTATTCATGTTTCCTAATATGGCACGCTGTACGATATTAAAAACTTACCAGAGTGTATAAGCTGTGAGCTACTCTTCTGTACAAGCAATCAGTGTCATCCGAATATCTATCATCCCATGCTTGGTTCAGAATTTTGAAGGAACCAACAAATTGTCTCCCTGGAAAGTTACATTCAGTATATATAGGGCAATCAGTGATGTATGTTACAGATGCATCTTCTGTCGTGATCAGTGAAGTTGGTTCACTCGTCATGGTCACATCACCTTCTACGGTGGTTGCAACATCCTGTTGTGTGGTTGCATCTGACA